AAAAAGTCAAAACAAAATGTAGAAAGCCTAAGGTTCATGTGGGATAGCATCAAAAGGAATAACTTACGTGTTATTGGAATTCCAGAACAGGAAGAGAAAAACAAAACCAGTGAGAAAATTGTCCAAGATTTGCTGGAGGAGAACTTCCCTGATATGATGAAAGATGAGGATATATCCATTCAGGAAGTAAATAGTAAATATCTGTAGTAATTGAGATAATGAAGCAAAATGAGATTTCCCTTGACTCTATCATAGAGTAAACAAAGAATAAGTCTTTTTTTTTTTCATGACAGGAATTAAAATGACAATATAATCAAGTCATGACTTGAGGAGAGGTTAAAATGTATATGAAAAAATTTTCACTGTTTGCTCAATTCAATGGACTGATTAGTTCATTCAATGAAACTTTGAAATCATAATAAAAAATGTTTAAAATTGAGATCTCTTTATCTTCTAAACTGGAAAAATGAACTATCATCTCCTGAACTCATTCCACCTGTAGAGCATTAGTTTAAGCAATCTAGAAGTTAGATTTTTTTTTTTTTTTTTTGCTACATACATTGCAACTTTGCATATAGTAAGTATTTACAGGTATGTGTCACTTAACATCCACATTACATTCTGTGAAATAGGATATTACGTGATTTGAACGTTATGGGAACACCATATTAAAACCTTATGTGAGCCTGCTTCCAGTCATCCTCATCATTTTGCTACCACTGCCACCACTGCTCTTGGAAGCAAGAGCAACTGGCAGCAGCAGTGGAAGTGGAGCAAGCAGGGAGAGAATAGAGTGTGCCCTGCGGCAGCCACTGTTCCACCCGCCTGAGCAGCAGGAACACCCGGCCCTGCATCCTCCACAGCCGTTACTGCCTACCCACGAGACAAAGGCTGAGGGCCCACACCCAGAGCCATGTCCTCTGCCTCACCTGCCTGTATCTCACCTATAGTCCAGTGCTCCAAGAGTGTGGATTTGAGATCTTGAACACCATTAGGGGAAAATGATAAACAAAAGGAGAGCTGCTTTCCATTAAAAAGAAACCTGTGGGACCACAAACGTATATGCAATTGGACATTGTCAGGCAGATGTTAAGTGATATATACCTTTAGCAGTTTTTAGACAATGATATTATCGTATATTAAAAGATTCATGAAATCATAGCATGAAAAAGAATCTTGGACATCCTTTAGACCAGCATTTCTCAAACTTTTTGGTCTCAAGACCTCTTTACTTTCCTAAAAATTGAGGACTCCTAAAAGCTATGGGTTCCATGGCTTTGAGAATCAGCATTTTACTCCAGTTCTTCATTGTACATTAGATGAGGTGTGACACTCAAAGAAAGTGATTAACTCAAGGCTGTATATACTTAATGACAGAGCCAGAGTTGGAATCCAAATGTTCTGACTTCTAATCTAATACTCTTTTCAGTGTTCAGAACATACCCTTCTACAAATGAAAGATTCAAAACCCCCCAAAAATCTATGCATCATAAACACATTGTAAAATATACATTATAACAAAAAATACCCTAAATTTCTTTTAGAACAAATAAGGAATGGATAAATAAAGTTAAAATTATATGCATATCTGAGCTCTGTGTTCTGCTTGGAAGGTTGTAAAAAATCACAGTCAATACGACCTAAAAAGAAATTGTAATAAACCTATAGTTTTCAAACATAGTACATCCATATAAACTGTTGGAAAAAAACTGACAAATCTATTTGTTTTTCTTAACAGCTAATGAAAATAGGTTCCGATGTTGAATTGTTACTCAGAACATCTGTTGTACAGGGTATACTCACAGACCACAATACATTGAGTAAGTAAAATTAAAGAATGGTTTCTGACTGCAATATGTTTTAAAATATTGAGGAATTATGTGGTGCTTTTAATGCTCAATAGTAAAAAGTTTCATTTTGCCAGGCATCATAGTGTATATTGCATACATCTGTAAGTCTATAGTTTAGAAGTACTTACTTATGAAACTGTTCTACCAGATTTTTGTTCTGTTTTTCCTTTTTTATCTTTACCTGTGATTATACTGCAAAACTGTAGCTACAAAGAGAATACAATTTTTTATCATATTTCTTTGATGTTCTTAATTTGTCTGGTATCATTTATCACTTAATTAAGTCTAAATCTGTTTCTCTACATTTTACTCTACAAGTGGAGTTATTTTAATTCACAGAATAGGGATTAATAGGAAATGGAAAAATAGTAGAGAATCCTCCATCGTATGTCCAGCCCCTGTTAGGACTTCAGCAGAATCTCAATTCACATTATATTTTTTTTTACTCTCTGAAGTGTCTTTAGAGACCAAAAAAAAAGTGACACTCAAAATTTTTGAAAGGCTTTTTTTTTAAAAATGAAATTATTGAAGTATAATAAACAGAAATGAGCATAGTTTATAACTATACAGCTCAATGAATTTTCACAAAGTGAAGTACCGATGTAACCAACATCTGCATCAAGCTGTATATAACATTATAGCATCCCAAAAACCTACTCATGTCCCTCCCAGTAACCCCTCCTCACAAGGGTAACCTATCCTGACTTTTAACACCATAGATTTGTTTTGCCTGTGTTTGAACTTTATAGAAATGCAATCATGTAGGGTTATTAGTTTGGCCAGTTTCTTTCCCTCAGCATTTTACTTATGAGAGCCATCTGTATTATGTGTAGTAACATTGCTTTGTAGTATTCCATCGTTTGAATATACCACAATTTATTCATTCTACTGTTCTTTTGGCTTGTTCCTAATTTGGGACTTTAGTGAATAAGGATACTATAAACATTCTTTTTGTACATGCTTTTTTTCCCCCGTTGTACATGCCTTTTGCTGAACATATACGTGCATTTATCTTGGGCATACACCTGGGAGTGAAATTTTTGAGTCATAATATATGCATTTATCAGCTTTTAGATACCACCAACCAGTTTTCCAAAATAGTTATACTAATTTTCATTTCAGCAGCAGTACCAAATGTTGCTCTACATCCTTACCAACACTTGGTACCATCTATCTTGTTAATTTTAGCCTTTCTGATTGATATATAATGGATAAACCAAAAAAAAAAAACCACTCACTGCCATTAAGTCAATTCTACTCATAGCAACCTTCTTGGGTTTCCAAGGCAGTATCTCTGCAGAAGTAGATTGCCCAATCTTCCTTCTTAGGAGTGACTGGTTTGAACTGTCAGCCTTCTGGTTAGCAGTCAGATGCCTTAGGCACTATGCCACCAAAGCTCCCATATATAATGGTATTACATTGTAATTTTCATTTTCATTTCTCTGGTAACCAATGAAGTTGAGCACGTTTTCACCTGTTTAATGATCATTTTGCTTGTTTTTTTTCTTTTATGAAGTCCCTGTTTAAGTCTTTTGCTCATTTTTATAAGCATTATCTATCTGCCTTTTTAATATTGATTTGAAGCAGTTCTTTAGATGTTCTGAATACAAGTTGTTTGTTGAATATAAGTATTATAAGAATCTTCTCCTATTTTTGTGGTTTGCCTTTTCCTTTGGTAATGGTATCTTTTGATAAGACATCCTTAATTTTAATTCCGTTCAGTTTATCATTTTTTTTTTCTTTCTGATTAGCACTTTCGAATCCTGTTTAAGAAATCTTTGCCTATCCCAAGCAAAGGTCATGAAGAGATTCTTCTATGCTTTCTTCCAAATGCTTTATTGTTTGATCTTTTACATTTATCTGGTCCTCTTGGTGTAAAGAAGTTAAATTTGCCCAAAAATTTGGTCTTTGTCCTTGGCTCCTGGCATATAACCTCTAAAATTTTAGACTTTCCCCAATCATTGAAATGTCTTTGATAAGTACTCTAGACCACACCTAAGGGATTATGACTCATGTTAGGTAGAGGCTGACTATGCCAGAAAGACTCACCACATGGCACAATATCAACTTGGTGATATCAACCTCATTATATCAACAGACCTCAGAGGAGGAACTAGAGTTTGAATTAGGTAATGAGACCCTCAACAAAAGTTCAGGACACAGAAGCTCCATGGGCTAACAAACAGGTGGGTGAAAAATAACGATGCACATAGGAGAGTAACCCATCCTTTTTTGGGACATGGAATCTTCTCATTGGGAACCCTCCCACACCTCGCCCTATGCATCTCTTCATTTGTATCCTTTTCACTATAATAAAATTATAATCATAGTATGGCGTTTTCCATGCTGTGAGTTCTGTGAATCATTCTAGCAAATTATTGTCACCAAGGGTATAGTGGAAGCCAGCAGGTCAGAAGGCTCTGGAGAACCCCTTTACTTATGACTAGCATCCTGAGGGAGTAGAGAAGACTCCTAAATTTGTAGCCAACAGAACAGAAGTGAGGGGATTGTGGGGACTCCCAAGCTTGCAGCTAATGTCTGAGGTCTTGGACAGACTTGGCAGGCTGCAGGATTGTGCCCTTTAACCTGTGAAGTCTGACCTAGCTCTGAGTGGTTAGAGTTAGAGGAAGACATGCTGCATATGCAGCTGGTGTCAGAACAGAAATGGAATAGAGGGAAAGAGAATTGGTAAACTGATCTGGATTGATAACACATTTGGTATCAGAGAAATGGGATTTGATTCTCCCAACACAACTAGAGTTGATTTTTGTGTATAGTGTGCATTTAAGGATTAAATTTCCACACACACACACCCCCAAAATGAGTGTTGTAAATCCTAACCCTGTGGTTATCATCATCCCATTTTGGAATAGGTTTTCTTTGTTATATTAAGAGACCATATCAGTGTAGGGTGTGTTTTAAGCCAGTTGCCTTTGAGATATAGAAAGAACGGATTAGGACAAAACAGCAAGCAGAGATGGGTGACAATAGATGCCAAGCCACATGAAGATAGATCACCAAACAAGGACCTTCCTCCAGAGCCAACAGAGAGAGAAAGCCTTCCTCTAGAGCTGGCGTGCTAAATTTGGATTTATAACCTCTTAAACTGTGAGAAAATACATTTCTATTTGTTAAAGCCACCCACTTGTAGCATTTCTGTTACAGCAGCACTAGAAAACAGCTAAGATAACAGGAGACAGGGGTCAGGATTTACTTTTTTAAAGGTGAATATCCAGCTGATCCAGCAAGCACTTACTCACTCACTGCCATCGAGTCAGACCCAACTCATAGCGACCCCTCCTTGGGTTTCCAAGGCAGTATCACTACAGAAGTAGATTACCCAATCTTCCTTCCAAGGCTCTTGGGTTCAAACTGCCAGCCTTCTGGTTAGCAGTCAACTGCCTTGAAAATGTCACTCTTTCCCCACTGCACTTCAGGGTCACCTTTGTAAAAAAAAAAAAAAAAAATCAAGTAACCTTTATATGTGAATCCAGGGCTGGAAGATTACCCAATCTTCCTTCCAAGGCTCTTGGGTTCAAACTGCCAGCCTTCTGGTTAGCAGTCAACTGCCTTGAAAATGTCACTCTTTCCCCACT